GGAGAATTCATAATCATATACTCGATATCACATGTAAAGTCAAACTACCTGCATGGTATCAAGTGGCCCAACATCAAAAATAGCACCTGGGAAGCTGCTTCTCCTCTCTTACTATATATTCCCAATTTCCCTGTTGTCTCTGTTGCATAATTATGGTTAAAATAGTCCCAGTCTTATTATTATTTTGATACCTAAACTATTCCTTTGCAACCGCACATTGTTTAACTTTTTAACAAAGTGAAATGACCATTCACGACAAGCTGATCCCTAAAAGGTCAGATGTAATGGCTTAAAACAGGGGTCACTGGAGTCAGTCAGACTTGGCTTCTCACTGTGGCTCAACGTGTGTATAATCTGGAGTTTCCCAATTTCTTAGAATTTTAGTTTCTTCATCAGTTAAATAGGGATAATAATAGCATCTACCAATGAAAGAATAATCTTGAGCACTTAGCACATGCTTGGCTCATAGTGAAAAATTAATAAATGTTAGGCATAATAGATATAAATAATAACAATTATTAAAAACCAGTGAGCAAACCCCATATTATCTAAATTTCTAAATCTCTAGGATTCTATACCCTTTACTTTCTTTATAAGAAACACAACTAAGCATAATAACTTATATTAATAGATTCCCTAATTCTGAGCCAATCTTGCATTATTGGGATAGATCTCACTTGGTCTTTTAATTTTTTATTATTTTTTTAATTTTTAGAGAGAAAGAGCATGTATGTGCAAGCAGGAAAGGGTCAGAGGGAGAGAGAGAGAATCCCAAGCAGGCTACATGCAAAACCCTGATGCAGGGCTTGATCCCACAACCCTGGGATCATGACCCAAGACAAAATCAAGAGTTGGACGCTCAATCAATTGAGCCACCCAGGTGCCCCAGCAGTCACTTTTCATTCTCCTCTCTCCCTAGCCCTTGGCAACCACTAATCTACTCTTTGTCACTATGGATTTACTTATTCTAGACATTTCATGTAAAGAAAATCTATAATATTATCTGTGAATGGGTTACTTCACTTACAATGTTTTAAGTTTTATCCATGTTGCAGCATGTTTCAGTACTTGTTCTTTTTATGGCCAAATCATATTCCATTATATGGATATACCATGCTTAACTATTCATTGCTTGATAGACATTTGAGCTGTTCCCACTTTTTGGCTATTATAAATAGTGCTGTTATAAACATTTGTGTACACATCATTGTATGGATGAATGTTTTCACTTCTCTTAGATATATATGTAGAAGTGGAATTGCTAGGTCATGGGGTAACTCTGTATTTAAAATGTGATGGATTTTAAGCAGTTTTCCAAAGTGGCCACATAATTTTACAAGCCTACCAGCAAGTATTAGAATTCCAATTTTCCATACCCTTACCAACATTTGTTATTGCCCATCTTTTTTATTATAGCCATTGTAGTGGTTGTGATGTGGTATCTTGAAGTGCATTTTCCTGATGGCTAATGATGTTGAGCATCTTTTTATGTGCTTTTTCCCATTTGTATATCTTCTTTAAAGAAATGTCTGTTCAAATCATCTGTGCATTTAAAACCGAGTGGTTTCTTTATTTTTGAGTTGTAAGAGTTATTTTAATATTCTAAATAAAAGGCTCTTTAGATATATCATTTGCAAATACATTCTCCCATTCTGTAGGTTGTCCTAATAGCAATTTATGTTTAGGCAACTCTTGAATTACTCAGGGAAAAAGCTTAGGTATGGATGCCATCCAAACTCTTTACCTCTCTTCTGGATTTATTCCAGTTTGGAAGTAGTGCTCACAACATTCTCTATAAGGAGTGCATAGAGGAAGGAGAAAAAACCCACAATGCCCAGTAGAGAGTATGTGCTCAATTAACTTTGGCAAATGAATGAATAAAATTTACGTATTTATTCTTGGTTCCTACCACTACTCCAACTAATTGAATCCCTTTGCTGGATCCACTTTTAGAGCAATGATATTCATTTCATGGCCTGAAGGCCTGCAGGGGGAGCTATGAGGTATTGAAAAGATGTACCTGTTTCCATGTGGATGCTCTCAGCTGTCTGTCTACTCTACATTAAGTGCACTGAAGTGTAACACTGTCATATGGGAGTCAACAGATTTTTCATGGTAAAAAGCAGTTTCATGTTCTACTCTTTAAGTTTGAGACTCATGGGTTTAAGAGAAAGAAACAGCTGTTTTTGTCAGTTCAATGTTGACTCTATAGTGTTTTCAATAGTCCTGGGCATTCTTATGTCATTTATACTGTGATTGTTTATTTGGAGCTTCATTTAGGGACTTCACTTACTTCTAGACTCTTGACCTAAGAGTGGTTCCCTCAGTGAGGTTCACTGTTCCCTGGACCAAGCAAAAAACTGTGGGGAAATGGTTCTGATGCTGTGAGGGAAAAAGGTCACATCTACCTACTTGTCATATCGGCTGAATTCCCTTGGGACACCTTGGGGGAAGAGATGATCCCAGCCAGGCTGTCTGCATTCCCGCATCACTTACAACTATCTATCAATGTCATTTTGCAACTTACATTTAACATAATCCCCTTGCACATCTGGAGTGTGGACTCACAGGAAGAATCATAATGATTCAAAAATGGGAAGAATCAAAGGAATTCTAGTTAGGACTGTGGGTAAAACTAAGAAATCAACGAAGGGATATGTATGAAGGAAACAAGCTGAGTAAAGGAAAAAGAACAATGGAAAGCAAGACACTTTTTTGTAACTGGATATAAACAAGAGTCTAACTTTACACAGGCAGAGTTGGCTGGCCTGCTAGTGTAACTGAGCTTAGCTACCCATCTAGTGCACTCACTCGGATGGGATGACTGTGGGCATTATTTGTACGACATACATATGCATGCAGATACCTGCCAACTAATGAAATAGGACACACTTGGGGCACCTGAATGGCTCAGTTGGTTAAGCATCTGACTCTTGATTTTGGCTTATAGGTTCTGGTCCCATGTGGGGTTTTGTGCTGACAGGACAGAGTCTACTTGGGATTCTCTCTCTCCTGCCCCCTCTCTTTGTCCCTCCCCCACTCATGCTATCAAAATACATAAACTTAAAAAAAAGAAATAGGACACCGTTATGAGCATGCAAAGCTGTCACATCAGAGAGGGGGGAAAAAGAGTTTGTTTGTTTGTTTGTTTTAAATAGTGGTCTTAGGGAGTTAATGTGAAAGAGCTTTTTGTCTCAGTCCAGACTGAAGAAAAAATTTTTTCATTGAAACATCCACCAATAATACCATTTTATAGTATTTATGTGATGTTTTTTCTTCTCTCATAAGTGGGAACACTTTTAAGGTTACCTTATGGCTCTTCATAGCAAAATCCTCCTGAAGGAGAGAAGTACTTTAACAAACAATGTTCCTGAGGTTCAGAGGTCAATTGACTGTTCTGCAGTTTTGGGGAGAAGAGATAGGTCACTGATAATTAGATCTCTGTTTGGAACCAGGACTGAATTAGGCATTAAACATATGTAAATTCCTTTAATTCCTGTAAGAATGCTATGAGGTAGGTGTTATTGTTATAAATTGATGGGTAAAAAAAAATCACCCTAATCATTGAGTTAATAATGATAGAATCAAACCATATCTGTCATATTCTAGAGTCATGCTCTTAATTGCCAATTTTAATTGATTAAGGGAGGTTGCCTGGAGAGGATGTGTGGAAGGAGTCTAAGACCATGCCCAGTTGCTCTAATGTGAGTAGGATGGGAGGAGTGGTATCTAATGCAGAACCCAAGGCATCATAGAATGAGTGATTTGGGGGGACAGGCCTCACTTCTAAGGGACTAACAGAATACTTTCTGTTACACAATGGTCTATTATTTGAGGGAGCTAAGGAAGGACTCTGTGGAAGGAGAGTTCTTTACAACTGTCTTTTTTTTTTTTTTTTAATAAAGTAGGCTGCATGCCCAACCTGGAGTTCGAACTTACAACCCTGAGATCAAGAGTCATGTGCTTTACTAAGTCAGTCAGATGCCCCTACAACTGCCTTTTGATAATATGTTTCCTTTCCCTCTCTCCTAGTGAAGGAAACCAGAATGTCACACCCCAAAGTACACCTCTTTGACATACAAATTGTTTTGAGCTAAAGGCAATTAAGCAGCAGCGAATGCAGATAAAGCTCTCTACCTTGCTCTTTTCTGCCTAAAGAGAGGATATGAATTCTCCTTTCATTGGAGACAGACTCTTATCATCCCAGAGACAGCACCACAAGAATCTGCCAATAAACCCTACTCCGTTAGTTGCCTCCCATAAATTTACCTTCCTACAACTTGCTGCTTTTGCAAAGCCCAAGGGCTTCCTTCGTCCTGTCATCTCTACAAATTTACTGAAGATGCTATATAAGCTGGAGTTCTAAGTTGCCACTTCCAGTTACCTTTCATGAGGTTTTTTCCCATGTGACATATGCTGCACAAGTTAAACTGTTTTTCTCTTGCTAATCTGCCTTTTTAAGAGCTTCAGCTGAAAACCCAAGGCGAGTAGAGGTAAAGTTTTGCCTCCTCTATACTAGCTATGGCTAATTATCTCCCTCTTCTCCCCCTCTCTAGTAGTACCTACATGCTTCTGAATTTTGCAAGTTTCCTTCCTTAAAATGACATTCTCTCTTTTCTTGAAACATATTAGTGAAGCATGGAATGTAGCAGAAATATAATTGCCATGTAAGTGACCAATCGACGTATGATAGGTAGATTCTAGACAAGGATTTGGTAGTTTTGATTGTCATAGACAGATGAAGGCAGGATCAGAGTAACTCTCTCAATGAAAGGATGAAAACATTTAACCAGAGTTATATTACAAACCACAGTTTCTGTTTTAGTTTCTGAATGTCAAATATTCCTCAGTTTTTTGCTTTTACATCTGTGTTTAAAGTTTCAATTTTCAGGATTGGGTTGAGAGATTTAAATTGTTGATATTTGCATAAAAATCACTTTCATTTTCTTTTGTAAAGTATAGCTACCATGTGTATATCTGTATTTTTCTCTATTAGATTTTCACATAAAGAAAAACATTAGCCTTACACTGGAATCCTAATGGGCTCATCATTTTTGAGAGTGAAAGCTGTAGAAACCTCTGGATCTGAATCCCAGTTAGTTTCCAACTTACCGCACCATTTCACTTTCCAGTTACGATTGGCATCAACTCCACGGCAGCGAAACCTTGAGTTCCTTGACCTTGTTTTTCTCCAAAATCGATCCTAGATGCAATTAAGAAAACAGGTGCAGAAAAGAATACTTAAAAGGCTATCCACATACATTTAGTAGCTGTGAATGAATCACAGCACTGCAGGGAGAGTTCCTTGGGAACAGACAAATCCAGGGAGAAGAAAGAGGACTGAATTAGCAACAGAGACCCAGGTTCATGCTCCAATTTCTGTCACACACTTGTTAGCTTCTCTTGGCCTATTTCTTCACAGGCAAACTGAATAAGCTGGACTAGTCTAGTGATTTTTCACAATTTCTTTGGAAGGAGAAATCTTTACTTATGTGAAATCTTATGCACAGACAAACATATAAACAGAAGGTTGTTTCTATGATGGGAGAGGGAGTGGAGGTCCCTTTTGTAGTTCTGGAATCATTAGGCTGTCTGCCTACCAAGCTTCCTTCCTCTTCTATGACTGTTTTCTATTTATTCCATTTCTCTTTTCAATTGGATAGGCAAAGCGACTTACACTGGTCCAGCTAAAGTGGTATCCATCAACGTTAAATACAGGCATGATATAGAAATACAGATGATTCAACATTTTTCTCATGATTGGGTCACTCCTATATGTTAGAAGAGCCTAAAAGACAAAGGTGATATTTTTCTTACAAACTGATCTCAAATACAGATTAAAAAAAAATATATGAAAATCCTCCCATGGGAAATACCAAATATGTTGGGTTAAAAAGTAACGAGCTAGGGGTGCCTGGGTGGCTCAGTCAGTTGAGTGTCTGACTTCAGCTCAGGTCATGATCTCATAGCTCATGAGTTCAAGCCCTGGGTCAGGCTTTGTGCTGACAGCTAGGAACCTGGAGCTTTCTTTGGATTCCTTGTCTCCCTCCCTCTCTGCCCTAACCCACTCTCATTCTGTCTCTGTCTCTCTCAAAAATAAATAAACATTACATTTTTTAAAAAATAACAAGCTAATTGAACTATATATACTCTGTGACATCATACTTTTTTTTCTAATTAAAAAATTTTGTTATTTTTAAAAAGTTTTTATTTAAATTCTAGTTAGTTAACATACAGTGAGATATTAGTTTTAGGTGTACAATACAGTGATTCAACACTTTAAAAAATTTTTAATTTTGAGAGAGAGAAAGAGAGAGAGACAGAGTGTGAGTGGGAAAGGGCAGAAAGATTGAGACACAGAATCTGAAACAGGCTCTAGGCTCTGAGTTGTCAGCACAGAGCCTGATGCAAGGCTCAAACTTGGGAACAGTGAGATCATAACCTACACCAAAGTTGATGCTTAACCAACTGAGCCACCCAGGTGTGCCATGATTCAACACTTTCATACAACAGCTGATACTCATCACAACAAGTGCCCTCCTTAATCCCCATCACCTGTTTAACCCATCCTACACCCACATCATATATTCTTTATTGAGATTTTTGCGCCAAACTTTTTGTTACTTATACATTTTAGCAAAGGTAGCTAAACAGATTAATTGGGTAGCCTCTAACAGTATTTCAGAACTGGCTAAATTTTAGGCTGATGAAGAAAGCAATTATTCAGATATGCTTTTGTATAATCAGTTTTTTTAAAGATTACATTCCATTTTGGACAAAATAATTACCCAAATATTTTGGTGTCCTTACATGATATTTCATAACAAAAGCTATTTATATATGTCACTTAATTGTTTATGTCTAACTGGCACCAGACTCAAGTCTTCAAATTTATTGCACTGACACTGTTCTCTCCTGATTTAAAAAAATTTTTTTAAAAATGTTTTTATTTGAGAGAGTGACAGAGCATGAGTGGGGTGGGGGGAGGGGACAGAGAAAGAGAGAGGGAGACACAGAATCAGAAGCAGGCTGTAGGCTCTGAGTTGTCAGCACAGAGCCTATGAACCATGAGATCATGACCTGAGCCAAAGTCGGATGTTCAACAGAGTGAGCCACCCAGACGCCCCACTATAAAAAGTTTAATAAACATTATAACATTTCTATCATTTTTATCATGGCTGTTTTGAAATCTTGCTCTTATGATTGGGTTTTACTTATATTGTGTCTGGCCCCAAGTCTGAAGATTCTGGACTACAGGTTTGGCCTCAAACAAAAAAACCGAATGTGCTAAGAATACAGACATTTTGAAATACTTTTAAAACAATTCTTTTTGGTGCTTATTTGTCCATGTATAGAGTATCTCAGAGAAACATAGGAAAGTTGAAAATGGCTGCCTCTGGGGAAGGGACTCATGGGAAAGAGAATTACCTTTAATATTTTACCTATTTGGATCGTTTGAATTTTTACCATATTAAAGACAAAATTCAAATAAGAGAATTCTTAAATTATGTATATACTGCCTTAGAAAATTTAATACTTCAATTTTTTTTTACATATAGTTAGGATTTCTGAACCCATCACAAACAGCATCTGCATCTATATAATAAGAATACTGTTCATAGAGAATAATCCAATATATTAGAAACTATCACTAATATTCAAAATAATGAATATAGGGATATGATTAGGAATATAAGAGTTATGGGAATGCAAACTGGTGTATCCCCTCTGGAAAACAGTGTGGAGGTTCCTCAAAAAACTAAAAATAGAACTACCCTACGGCCCAGCAATTGCACTACTAGGTATTTATCCAAGGGATACAGGTGTGCTGTTTCGAAGGGACACATGCACCCCCATGTTTATAGCACTGCTATCAACAATAGTCAAAGTATGGAAAGAGCCCAAATGTCCATTGATTGGTGAATGGATAAAGTGGTATATATAGACAATGGAGTATTACTTGGCAATCAAAAAGAATGAAATCTTGCCATTTGCAACTATGTGGATGGAATCAGAGGGTATTATGCTAAGTGAAATTAGAGAATGACAAAAATCCTATGACTTCACTCATATGAGGACTTTAAGAGACAAAACCGATGAACATAAGGGAAGGGAAACAAAAATAATATAAAAACAGGGAGGGAGACAAAACAGAAGAGACTCATAAATATGGAGAACAAACTGAGGGTTACGGGAGGGGTTGTGGGAGGGGGGATGGTCTAAATGGGTAAGGGACACTAAGGAATCTACTCCTGAAATCATTGTTGCACTATATGCTAACTAATTTGGATGTAAATTTAAAAGAATAAAAAATAAAACAAGTTAAAACAAAGAATATAAAAGTTAAACAATTTTATTGAATATAATTTAAATATTTAGGGGCTTAACACAAGTTGACAAATGCTAATACAATTTTCTCTTCTCCTTTAAGGCTCAGTTGTAATTTTTTGGCCACATAGCTTTGGTAGAACTTTTATACATGCTTGAATTTCTATTAACTGTCTAATGCCTCAAACCAGAGGAAAATTCCTGGTATATGATTGTTCATATCCTAGAATTTTGATTTCCTCTAATTAATGGAAGTTCCCCAATGCCTGGAGGAAGTCTACTGCTGGGGATGGCAGAGACAGAGCTATATGGTTAGCTACATTCCTTCCATAAGGTTAGGCAGCTGTGGTTTCTGTGCCACACTAGTGAAGAAGAGATGAAAGGAGAGAGAACTGAGGCAACAAGGCAAGAAAGAAGGTGTAGGAAAAAGTCATGGTAATTTCTCTCTCTCCCTGCCTAGCATTGGGGACTGTAGCTCATTTGTCTCAGTCCAAATGTGGGAAGTCTTACCTTTTCCAAGCATGGATCATGTTAGCACCTCAGCACCAGACTAAGGTAGAGACCTGAACGGTAACTTTCTCATCTTATTCTGCCTTCTCCTCTTCGAATGCAAGTGCCCATCGTGCTTTTGTATTTAAAAGAATACTAACCTCCTTCTTAAAAATTACATTGTAAGCAAATAAAAAAAGAACAGAGAGTATTACATCTATGTGACCAACTACATTTTGCCATATTTAATCTTTATTTTTTATTTTTTTAAAGTTTATATGTTTTGACAGGGAGACAGTGTGCATGAGAATGGGGGAGGGGCAGAGAGAGAGAGAGAATCCTAAGCAGGCTCCGTGCTGTCAGCATGAGCCCAATGTGGGGGATTGATCCCACAAACTGTGAGATCAGGACCTGAGCCAAAACCAACAGTTGGATGCTTAACTGAGTTGCCCAGGCATTCCTATTAAATCTTTTAAAAAGAAGTTGAGATATTACAGATAAAACTAAAGCTCCCTTTTTATCATACCCTAATCCCATTTTCCCCTCCTCCACCAAAGTAATCACTATTCTAATTTTTATGTTATCATTACCATACATGATTTTCTGTTTTGCCATGTATATCTATATACAGATATATAAATATATATATACATAGATTCAGGAACAGTATATAATATTGTATATACTTTGAAATTTCATGCAAATCATTATGTATCAATCTACAGTCTACTTTTCTCCCCAATATTTTTGACACTTGATTTATTCATTTTAACTGCACAATGGTATTCTATTATAGATAAATCCACAATATATTGATTCCTCATTTTGTTGATGGGAGAATTAACTTGCTTTGTTACAATATTGCAATGGACATTCTTGCACATTTCTCCTAGACATGTGTGAATTTTCCTTTTTTTTAATTTAAATTTTCATCAGTTAACATACAGTGCAATATTGGTTTCAGAAGTAGAATTCAGTGATTCATCACTTATATACAATACCCAGCGCTCATCACCAGTGCCCTCCTTAGTACCCAACACCCATCTAGCCCATCTCCCACCCACTTCCTTCCGGCAACCCTCAGTTCTCTAACATTAAGAGACTCTTGTAGTTTCCCTCTCTTCTCTAGCACCCCCTTCCCATAAGCTCATCTGTTTTGTTTCTTAAATTCCACACATAAGTAAAATCATATGGTATTTGTCTTTCTCTGCCTGACTTATTTTGCTTAGCATAACACATTCTAGCTCCATCCATGTCATTGCAAAAGGCAAGATTTCATTATTTTGGATGGCTAATATTCCATTGTATATAATATACCACATCTTCTTTATCCATCTATCACTTAGTGGATATTTGGGCTCTCTCCATAATTTGGCTACCGTTGATAATGCTGAACATTGGGGAACATGTACCCCTTTGAATCTGTATTATTGTATCCTGTGGGTAAATACCTAATAGCGCAATTGCTGGATTACAGGGTAGTTCTATTTTTGGTTTCTTGAGGAACCTCCATACTGTTCTCCAGAGTGGCTGTACCTGTTTGTGTCCCTAACAGCAGAGAAAGAGAGTTCCCCTTACTCTGCATATCAGCATCAACATTTGTTGTTTCCTGTGTTGTTAATTTTAGCCATTCTATGGCTGAGGTGATACCTCATTGTAGTTTTATTTTTCCCTGATGATGAGTGATGTTGAACATCTTTTCATGTGTCTGTTAGTCATCTGGATGTCTTCTTTGGAAAAGTGTCTATTCTTGTCTTTCTTAACTGGGTTGTTTTTTGGGTGTTGAGTTTGATAAGTTCTACATAGATTTTGGACACTAACCCTTTATCAGATATGTCATTTGTAAGTATCTTCTCTCATTCTGTAGGCTTTTAGTTTTGTTGATTGTTTCCTTTGCTCTACAGAGGCTTTTTATCTTGATGAAGTCCCAATAGTTCATGTATCTTACTGTTTTTGGTGCAATTGAAAATG